AAAAAAAAAAAAAAAAAAAAAAAATCCTTTGGCAATTAAGATCAAAACCAAAACCCAAAAACAAACAAACAAACAAAAAAATCCACATTCACACCCTTTAATTCTTTCTAGTAATATAGTACTGCTCCATACTGTTTTGAATAAAGGAAATAGCATTCTAAATTATTAGTAGTAAAAATATAACATAACTATTTAGATAAATGTTTTATATGGTTTCATTGTTTGCTTTTTCATTCATTGCTATGTGAAAATCCAATAGATAATAAACTCTACGAAGATTTATTTCCTTCTTCTCTATAATTTTTCTTCTACATTCTCTTCTTTCTGATTAGAAAAGTAAGATAATATTTTAGAATTTTAAGTATTTAAAAATAAAAAAAAATTTCATTAACTTAGGAAATTGTGACTGCGATTGGCATGCAAGAATATCTTTTTAAAAAGTTTTCCAAACTCAACTGCTACTATGGATTAAGTTGTGTCCCCCCTGCCAAAAAAAATTCATATGATGAAACTCTAGCACCTAATGTGACTATATTTGGAGAAAGAGTTTATTGGGAGGTAATTAAGATTACATGTCATAATAAGGATGGGGGCCCGATAAAATAAGATTAGTGTCCTTATGGTTCATGCTCTCTTTTTCTCTCTCTCATTCACTGCTCCCCTGCCCCCCCGAACACACATACTGGAACACAGGGGAAAAGCAAAGTGAGGTCAAAAGAGAAGGCTGCCACCTACCAGCCAGGAAGAGAGCCTTCACCAGAAAGAGACCCTGCTTGAGTTTCATCGGGAATTCCTAGCCTCCATATTTGTGAGAAAATAAATTTCCATTGGTTAACTCATTCTGTCTTTAATGTTTTGTTATGGCAGCCTGAGACGTTTAATACAGCTGCTTAATTTATACTTTCTCAACATGTATCATTATTTCCCATGTCATTTATGTATTTCCTAACATTAAACATTTAGTAACATGAAACCTTTAATTAGCTTCAATAAAAATGAATCACTAACAATTGTGAGTGGAGCTAAATGTAAGAAATTGCAAATGACACAAAGAATAATCAATCCAGCATAAAATTGAGTTTAAAAGTATACACATATCTTCAACACAGAATCAAGAAAGCCATAAGGAATATTCAGAGTGTGGAATTCAGAAAACTAGAAAATTCTGTCAATATTCACAGGGAAGTTGTACTCACTGGGTCCCTGCATCATTAGCATCTTTTTACGAGACTTCCAACACTCTGGCTCCATATAATGGCAATACACCTATTCAGAATCAAAATGTAACATGGTGTCTGGCATATCAAAGACACCCCATTGATTCTGAATGAATTATTTACTAAATGAGTTGAAATTTTCATCAATACATTACAAGAAAGAACTAATATACAAAAAAAAGTGTGCCTAGTAGAACTTCAAAAAAAATACTTTGTATAGATAGCTTAGAGATACAATTTGTTGTCACAATCTACTTTTTACAAAGCATATTTTTATAAAATTAAAAATATTTCAACTGTGATAATTTTAAGGTAATAAAACACCTCAAATTGTTAGATGATAAGTAAGACTAATCCCTTCACCCAAGTTGGAAGATTTTCTTGTAAAATAGTTTAATTGCCAACTATTCATTGATCAAACTAATGATAAATGTGAATTTCTAATTTATTTAGTACATGTTCTATATTTAGCTGTGTATTAAGTGAATAATAATTGTGTGGAGTAGAGCCAGGGAACATGTAGATTCTAATAAATAATATGAAATTATTTGAAACCTGGATTTTAAATGAGTATGAGACAAACATGCTGATGTGCTGAATAATTTTTAAGCAATGTATAAGAGCCCTGAAATAGATTTCTAGCATTTAAAATATTCAGTATTCAAGTAATTTGTAGCTTAACAAAATGGCTAGAAGCACCCAACAGACTTACTCAGAGACACATAAATTAAATACTACTTCGTTACCTTATCAAGCATTTGCAATAGAGAAAAAGAGAAAAAAAAAAAGGAATATAATTAAAGTTGCCCTGAGTCTTTTGATCCTGTCAGTTCCCTAAAACCACAGAGGTATTTGTCTGGTTTCTGCTCACCAATGATAGATGGAATATCATAGAATGAAATTTTAAAAATCTGTCCTTGTACCTTATTCTGTTAGATTTCTTTTTTTGGAAAAGAGAATAGCAGCAATAAAATTGCCTTGGTCTAACTCATATGCTGAAATAAAAAAAAGAATGAAACAAGAAAAAAGAAATGGGGTCTTTATTTTTTTCTTGAAAGTCATTTTTTGTTTGAGATAGTTACCTAATTTTCCTTAATTTTTATGCATACTAGTAGATAGAATAGTATCATATTTCATAGTGCCACATGTTTTATGTGTCTTTACTACTTAAACATTCTATAAATATTCTTTTCTTAAACCATCAACCACCATCTTCCCATTATACTGCCACTCCCCAGAAATCCCCAAGAAACTGGCAGAGCTAAAAATTAAGTAAATAAATAAATAAATAAAAAGTGGGTTTAAAATGGACACTTATTCCACTATTGATAGGAAGCAGAACTGAGGGGAGGTCATAGGGGGTTTTATTTTTCAAAAGTTGTTTACAAAGGTTGAAATCTAAAAGTATAGAAAGTGATAGTTATATATCCAAACCTACATATCTGCAATGTTTATACATTTTCTTTGAATATTCATGGCTACTATGTGAAAAGATGGAGCTAGGAAAAAATAGTAATATTGTATTTTTAGGAATTATATCTTGTTACGGAAGACAAGTAGAATCCTTTCTCTAGATCTTTATATTTGAGAAGATATAGAATAGTCCTGCTAGTCACAGGATAATTCATAAATTACTCTATGATTCTAAATTAAATATAAACCTTTTTCCTTCTGATGATTAAGAATCCTTGAATACCAAAGTGTCCTTAATATTTTACTCAGGATAACAGTAATACAAAAGAGAGTTGGCTTTGAAAGTAAATCTGTGTGTGAAGAGATGAGTTTGATTCTTTTCTAATTTAGGATAACATATCAAAGTTAGAGTTTATAGTAATAGAACCTATTGTACATTTCGACAAAAGGAAAATCCATTGACCTTTGTAATCCTCTGAACTTTCTTGTCTGGATTCCACTACCTCCATTTTTGTCAGAAAATTAATCATTCCTCCATTGTATATCCATATTTGAAGTAAACAGCAGGAGCTGTAACTTTGCAAATATTCTCCAGAAAACAAGTGATGGGCTTTCTAATGGGAGTCAGTCAAAACTTGTTTAGCTTAATTAAAAATTATAACATGTACACATGGATAAAAAGAAACCTTCCAATTACATGTAATTTGACAAATCAGTTTGGCAAATCAGTTAAATCTTTGTATCATAAGCAAAACCAGGTCAAAGCTGAGTAATGTTCAATAATTTATCAAATAATCTCCAATTAATCTTTTAGAGACCATCTACTTTAAAGTCAAAATTGCTTATATTTTAACATCCTTATGATTTAAGAGAATATATTGGCTTTCAATAAATGTGCATGTCTAACATTGTATGTTGGTTTATGTAGCATTAATAAAATAATAAAACAGACAGAAATATAAAATAATAATTAGATGAATTAAATTTATGGATATCATTATCCTATATAAAGATACAGATATACATTATATACTTATATTGATATTGGTATATATAAAACAGTAAATGATTAACAACAACCCTGCATAGATAAGAATACCTGATTTGTACCATTTGTCACTTTTCAAACTGTAAATACTCCCATCCTGGGTGCAAATATGAGGTCACTGAATGTGGAGTTGGGAAAACATACTCAAAACTGACCCTCAAGCATGGCTGAGCTGACTTTCCAGTTCCAACAACCCACTTTTTAAAGTAAATTATATATTTACAATGTAGTAGAAATGACATCCTTTTCCACCATATGTGAGAATGCTATATGTTGTAAGAATCTGGAAAATAATATGACATTTTATACAAAGATTAATAGTATATGCATGTATCCTCATTCTGTTGCCTGGGTTAGAGTGCTGTGGCATCAGTCTAGCTCACAGCAACCTCAAACTCCTGGGCTCAAGCAATCTACCTGCCTCAGCCTCCTGAGTAGTTGGGACTACAGGTGCACACCACCACACCTAGCTAATTTTTCTATTTTTAGTATATTTTTAGTAGAGATGGAGTCTTGCTCTTGCTCAGGCTGGTCTGGAACTCCTGAGGTCAAGCAATTCTTCCACCTCTGCCTCCCAGAGTGCTAGGATTACAGGCATGAGTTAGCCACCAAGTCAGGCCTATAATTAACTATTAATTTTTAAACAGTAACATATCAGTACTTAAGTGATTTATGTAATTCTATCATAATCCATTCAAAATATTAGTCTAAGTATTTTTTTTCTTGTTAACTTACTCATCCTCACCAGAAACCTATGTAGTATGTTTTATTAATATCCTCATTTTTCCAAGTTATGAAATTAACATATAAATAATTTCCAAAGTTACACAGCTAGTAAATGGCAGACCTGGGATTTGAACTCAGTCAATATGGAGAGTTCATGAGTTCCAGAGTTCATGCCGTTACTCTGGAGAGTTCCACCGTTCATGCTGTTACTATTATTATACTACATACACTCCATCTCATTAGAGTGATGAGGGTAGCTATCAATTTAATGCCAAAAACAAACAAATAAACAAACAGCAAAGTATAGTCAAATCAACTGCAATGCACCCTTATTTGCACATTCTACAATTATTAAAATTATATAATTCTAAAAACTTTTTAAGGCACTGAAACATTTATAATTTTCTGTATTTAACATTTTATATTTTGCACTATGTGATTTAAATATATGCTAAAAATTGTTAATATAGATAAATTTATATCTTCTTTTAACTTCTCCTTCATCCCATTCCTTCCTTTTGATATTTTCCTTCCTTCATATATATTATTCTGTTTCATAATTTTATCTTTGAAATGCTAAAAACTCATCACTTTCTCAGTGATGAATAGTCTATCAAATTGAATGTAAATTTTTCCAGATGTCTTTATAAATATTTTTAAACTAGACAGCAATTCAGAATGCTTTAACCTGTATTTCTTTTAAAAATTAGGTCATTTAAAATGGCACAATAAAAAAAAAAACTATCTTACAAATACATTTCATAACAATCTGACTTTTCTATATATTGTAGTAGAGATACTGAGTCAGAAAAGGGAAATTGCACCTTTTCTCCACATCATCACTTAAATAGAAAAAAAAATGTTTTCAATGTTTTTATGGAGTTCTGAGTGGCCATTCCTAATAAATTTTACATTTTCCCTTATCCACAGTTTGTCTTCTAGTCTTTATCACTTGACACTAAAAAAAGTCCACCAAACCAAAACAAAAACATTGAATTAAAAAAAAAATTAAGAAATGTTAATGAAAGTGTATAAATTTGGCTTCAAAAATTAGATCTATATTATTTCTGTCTACATATCTCTATCTGAATATCTCTATCTACATATCTTTATGTCCATATCTACCTATCTATCTATGCATGTTCATACCCCTTTTCAGGTGAAATATGTCTAAGAAAGGCAGAAAAATGGCAACATAATGACACCTTTTTGCATATGAACCTGTTCAGAGCAGCTGATTGACGATATGTTATCTTTCTGTTCCTTTATATCAGTAACATTACAATGCTTAAGAGTCATTAAAGGCACAGGCTGGCTTCAGAGTCTTAACTGTCTTTTTTGTGTTTTTTTTTTCAGTAAAGACTTCATGATTTTAGAGCAGCTTTAGGTTCACAGAAAAATTGCCTCCACACATGCATAGCCTCCTCCATTATTAGTATCCCTCATCAGAGCTGTACATTAGTTACAATGATGAGGCTACATTGGCATATCAAAATTGCCAAAGTTCATAGTTTACATTAGGGATCACTCTTGGTGCTGTCCGCTCTATGGGTTTGGACAAATATATAATGATATATATCCATCTTTATACTATCAAACAGACTATTTTCACTGCCCTAAAATTTCTCTGTGATCATCTACTCATCCCTCTCCACCTTCCTCCATTACCAGCCCCTGGGAACCACTGATCTTTAAATTGTCTCCATAGTCTCATTTCTTAACTAATTTTTTAACTGCCATTTCAGAACTCAAGTCTGTCACTTACTAGGGGACTTTTCCAATGTTAGTAGTTATCTACGGCTGCCCCAGCTAATTTCTTGCTCATATGCTAGCCCCATTCTTCTTCTTGCTAAAAAAAATATTGTTTTTCAGGGCATCAGTGTGCCCAGTCCCAGGAATTGAAGCATAAATCGTGTAATCCAGAGATGACTCTCTCATTCCCCTTTGGCACAATGACTTCTTCGTTTCTTCCTGCTTTGCTGATTCATGTGACCCAGTTCTGTAAGGAGAAGCTGGGTGGGAGAGAACTCTAGATAGAGTAGAGCCTCAGATAAAAGGAGTGAGAATCAACAAACATAAAATAAATTTTATTTTTGCTACCCTTTTCTGCCTGCTTACACTCAGAATTGCAATGCAGTTGTGATGCTTATGGCTGTGTTATTCAACTAGCTCCCAACAGATAAGACATTGAAAAAATAACCAAATTTCAGGGAAGGGCAAAGAATAAGGATGGAAGGATCCTCAGTCCTTAGTGACTGTGGTACCCAACCCCCAGGTTGTGGACCAGTAACAGTCCATGGCCTGTTATGAACCAGGCCACACAGCAGGAGGTGAATGGCTGGCAAGCAAGTGAAGTTTCACCTGTGTTTACAGTTGTTTCCCATCACTTGCATCACCACCTGAGCTCCACCTCCTGTCAGATCATTAGTGGCATTAGTTTCTTATAGGAGCACGAACCTTACTGTAAACTGTGCATGCAAGGGATCTAGGTTGCACACTCCTTATGAGAATCTAACACCTGATGATCTGAGGTGGAGCTGAGGCAGTGATGCTAGCCTTGGGGAGTGGCTGCAAATACAGATTATCACTAGCAGAGAGGTTTAACTGCACAAAGCCCATAATAAATCAATTGCTTGTGGACAATTATTATACACATTATTTCTATTATTATTACATTGCAATTTATAATGAAATAATTACATTGTGCCTATTTAAACATCACTTATATCTATGAGTGCAGCTCTCAAACGTATAATGAAATAATTATATATTACAATGTAATCATAATAGAAATAAAGCACACAATAAATGTAATGCACTTGAATCATCCCAAACCATTACCCCCCACAACCAGTCTATGGAAAAATTATTTTTCATGAAACTGGTCCCTAGTGACAAAAAGGTTGGAGACCACTGTTTGGTGATATGTTTGATCCGTCAAGCAAACCTCTGAGCCACATAATTACAGTATTTTTCTTAAATTAATAATAATAACAATAATAAATGTCCACATTGTATAAGTAACTGTCTTTCACATTTTCTATCATTGTTGTTTACATATATTACAATAAACTTCACCTATGGGCATAATAGCTGATAACTAGTAAGTAACTACTCAATAAATGATAGTCATGAGCAAAAATATTACCAATCAGGCAATGGTTCTCAGATCTTTAGAGTACTTTAGAATCCTCTGACTAACTAAAAATACAGATATTGCACTTCCATCCCCTGAGATTTTTATTCAGAACTCCTGAGTTAGGGATTAGAAATCTATATTTTTAATATGCCCCCAAGGTGATGTTGCTGCAGTTGTTTGGTGGATCATATTTTGAGAAATACTTCAGTATAGGCTATAAACAAATTATTGGAATGTGGGTAATACACATGAGTGATTTAATGGTTGAAGAATACGGTGAATGGAAACAATACCAATCCATTTCATTCCCCGTCTAGAAGAATATAATATATAAGTACCACGGAGGGCAGGGGTATCCTTTTAGGGACTGAATCACACTGAGCACTGTAAGAACATTTAATACATTCTGGAAGAGTTTTTTACTTCATAAGTTCATAGGATAAATTTAAGAGAAATTGAATACTCACATTAGCTTGGATGATGACAAAGTAGCGAGTTTTATCTTCATAGTTGAGCCTCTTCCTTAACACCACATTTCCAGTCAACATTAGGGGGATTTCAAAGGTGTCATTGGATGTCTACAAATATTAAAGATACCGGTTTCAGGTCATTTGAATATAAGATGAATTAGATAGCAAGATACTGTAGTTTAGTCCTCTTGAAAGTTACAGATGGCATGCTTATCATCTGAAAATAGAATGAATATTAGCTTCATATTTAATATTCTTATCAGTTCTCAAAATATTTCATTTTGAATGATGTGTTTTCCCAGAGTCCTTTGATAATGATAACCAGGAAACTTGTTTCCTGTCATAGTTTTTCATATATTATTAGGGTTATTCATCGACAGCCTTGGAACAGTTCTAAATCAAAATATAGGTGTCTGAAAATCTTCTCTATTACCATATTACCTTTTCACTATTTGTTTTAACACCAAAGAGTCCAAATATTACAATTTGTGATTTCTACATATTACTTTTCAACATTAGTGCCCATTCTGGATTTCAATTATTTTCAGGCATTAAATACAAATACAGTCATGAGCCACTTAAGAACAGGGATATAAACTGAGAAATGTATTGTTAGGCAATTTTATTTGTTGTGCAAACATCACAAAGCATACTTACAGAAACCAAGATGGTATAGCCTAGTACACAGCTAGGCTACACGGTATAGTCTACCATTTCTATGCTACATATGTGTACAACACATTACTGTGCTGAATACTGTAGGTAATTATAACACAATATTAAGTATTTGTGTATCTAAACATAAAAAAGAAACAGTAAAAATATGGTATTATTATCTTGTGAGGCCACCATCATACTTTTGGTCCATAGTTGACTGAAACATTATGTGGCACTTGACTATGAACTTGATGTAGTGTGCTATTGTAAATATATATATATATATATATATATATATATATGTATATATACACACACATATATATATAGTTATAGGTTAATATTTTTCAGGCTCCATAACTGCATAACTGCGGTTCATCAGTTTACATCCCTACTCTGTTAGGAATGGAGTTTTTTCCTGGTAGTTCTCAGGTCATAAGTGCAATCTCTAAAGTGCCTTCCAGCACTACTTGCTCTTATATAAGCAGCACTTAGTATAAATATATTCACACTTTAAGAGAGTATAATTATAAGATCAGTCTCTTATTCCTAAAAAGATCTTACATCAATCTTATATTTTTAATGCCATTTTAAAGACTGATAAAATAGTTTCTCAATAACTGCAACAAATCAGCTTTACTTTTAGCACTGAAATTGCTTTTTGTTTGGTCGTTTTTTTGTGTGCAGTTGTGCTTGTATTTGCACCCATGCTTGTGGGCATTGGATGAAATACTTAGCTTAGATCTACATTAGATTGCTGAGAAAGGAGGAGGAGGAGAAAGAGGAAGAGGAGGAGAAGAAAGAGAAGGACGGGGAGGAGCAGCAGGAGGAGGAAGGGAGAAAAGGAAAGAAGATAAAAGAAGAGTGTGTGTATGTGTGTGTGTGTATTCACATTCTCAACTCAGGGTAAGTGTATTCCTAAGAGTCACATAGGAAGTAAACTCAGTAAAAAAACAGCTGATGCAAATCTCCTATCTCAAACCCCTCGTGGATGCACACAAACACACACACATACACAGACACGCTGTATACTGTATACAATTGACATATATTTTTAAATGATTCAAGTAATTGGCTTTGTAAACCTTTCTTACATGCAGTCATTCAAAAGTAACAATTTTATATATAAATACAGATGATGTATTATGAAGGATATTTACAATTAAAAACAGACATTTGACACTTTCCTACATTTTAGCCTATTTAAACATTGCTCATATCTGTGAGTGCAGCTCTCAATTATGGGAAGGAAGTGTATGAATGATTTAATCTAAATATCTAAGTTCATTATGGATAAAACCTCAGTAAAAAATTGCCACTTACACTGTTAAACATATCTTAATGTGCTGTTATAGGGTCATTACATTTTAGTGACTGAATAACTATGGAACACATTTCACCTTCTAGCATAAATATGGAAGATACTGTAGGTTGCTTTATCCTAAGGCCATCTCATCGCTGGACTCAGAAGTGCAAATTAGTTCAAATATCTAGTGGCTTTGTGCTTCAGAGGAGAATCTGCCTCTAAGTGGGTTCAGTCTTGAATAGTTTAACCCAACCATGATAATTCCAATCTCTTTTCTAAGAATTATTTTGGAAATGTACATGTGATCCAATTCTGGGTAAAAATGCAATAATTTCTCTTAATTGTAAAGAAAAACAGGTGTTATAGATGCTGTTGTCAGAATATAAAGCTTGAAATTTCAGCAGCCATTTTGAGATCATTAATGGAATTAATTTACAAAAAATAACATTCTAGGAATAGTAGAGCATAAAATGAAAAGAACCTGGATCTACATTGTCCATGAGAAGCTGAACAAATCCTGATATTACACCATCTCTGAAAAACCTATCTCTATACTATGAGAGATAACAAATGACCGTTTTCGTTAAGTCATCTTTAATTGAGGTAGGTTTTTTTGGTTGTTGTTATTACTGTGTATTTTCTGCAGGTGAAAGCACTGTGATACATGATTATCTCTTATCTCTGTTTCTTTACACTGCAAGCCCTTCTGTTCTCCATACAAGCCACCATGGCTCTTCACACCTGACATTTGCTCTTATTTTCTCCTGCTTAAATATCCCATCACTCATTCCTCTGTGTAGTAAATTTTGCAAATCCTACTCAGTGAAGCCTTCTTTGTTAGCCTATGTAGACTTAAGTCTTTGTTGTGATGCTATATTATTTTTTTCCAAATAATAAATTATTTGTGTATTTTCTGTTTCACTTCACAGATTTCCCTAAGGGTTTCAGTCTATGATGTAGAAACACTTATCCTTATATCTCTAGCAAAATAGCTCAATGTTTGCAATACTTTTTCTTGTTGACAGTTTTCATTGAACATTTGCAGAATTATTACGAACAATAGAATTATAACCCAGTGACTTTATTGCTCTTTAGAACACTTTCAATTGAACTTAATTCTTATTAGTTAAATCTATCTTTTATAAATACCTTATATTTTTCACTTTATTAGGTATTTCATAAATACTTGTATTCGAAGAAACATAAGGACATTATATGCTTTATGATCAATACTACTTCTGAAATGTGGCCTAGGGAAAGGTCCTATATTAAAATTAACTAATTTATGAATTTAACAAGTATTTCTTGAGTATCCCTTCTGTCTCTAAAACATAAAACAATAATCAAGAGAAGAATTAGAAGCAAAGTGTGGATGTATCATTAGGATATACTTTTTATCTATTAAAAAGATTAGATTATGTTAACTCTGAGTAATTGCCCTAATCTAATAGCATTTTTTAAATAGTTAAATTTAGTAAGAAAATAGCAGGGTTTTTTAAAAATTATTATATGATAAAGCCATGAGGGAATGGAACAATGATTCTCAAAGTTTAGAAGGCATAAGGATCACTGATATGTATAATTTAGATTGCAGATTCCTAGCCTCTATGTCCCCAAATTCCAGAAATTCTCAGTAACATTTGTAACACACCTACCAGTTGATTCTGATGCAGATGATTTAGGTTTCGGTTTGAGAAAGAGTGGACTAAGAGATTAGTCTAGGCATGACTGCACTATCTCTTTCCCTACTATGTATTTTACTTCCCTCTGACTTCTAGAGGTTTGGTCCACCAACAAAGCAGAAGAGTGTGGGGACAGGACAAGGACCATTTCCTTAAGCAACTTTACATTTCTGAAGTGAGGTCATTGCCCCCTTTCTGATACTTTTGGACACTTCTCTTTAAAACACAAACTGGCAATAGTTTTTGGGTGATGAAAATTTAAGTGCTAACCTCTACCTCCACTGTATTAATGAGGGAAATCCAATTATGGCTAAATCTTTTAATATAGGTCCCTAATATCTGGCCTCTATCAAGAAAGATCCACTCACAACTTACTGGCAGTTCAGTGACTTAACAAATGTCAGATAAAGGGCAGTCCTCTTTTTAGTAAAATGAAGATATAGGGCAGTTAAAGCAATTTTATCACTATTGGGAGGACGAGAAATAGGGTAAGAGGCAGGAGCGATGCCCACCCCACACACATACACATTAACATAAGAAGGGAGAGAGCATGAATGTTGACACTCTAGCAACTCTGTGTTTCCCAAGGTGACTCCATCTCCTTGCAGTCCTTTTTACTAATATCAGTGAAGGTGGAATAGTACCAGTTTGGATAAAATGACAACACTCTGCAAGGAGGTTTTGGGCCCTTCAATAGAATTGTTCTGAAAATGGAATATGGGGTAGGTAATTAGCACTATTTTTAATCATCTGGCCATTTATCATATTTTAGGAGAAAGGAAAGATCTGTACAGCTTTTCATATCTGTTATATTTATGAACATTGTTTGTGATATTCTCCAGCTGTAAGGGCTACAAATCTGGCTCAAGAGATTTTTTTTAAGAAAACACACACACACACACACACACACACATTTATACTTCCTGTTGTCCTAAGGACAGAGGCTCAGCCCAAATGTGCCTCACTGGGCCTGTCAGTGGGAAGTGGCAGGGATTTAGGTAACGAGGCTTCTTTCTCTAAGAGACTAAAAATTCTCTTATCATTGTTTTGTGATATCATTTTAAAATCCTCCCTTATCTCTCTCTCTCTTTTACTGTCCCTGTCTCATCTGGATACCCCCATTTGCTCACTTTGAACAAGACCGTGAGTTTTTCTCGTAGTTCCAATAAGCAAAATCAACTTTGTCCTAATCAGTCTCTAGTCAGCCTTAAGCTTGTTTCTGACTAAGCCAGGCTACCAGGCCATCAGCTGCTGATCAATCCATGTCTTGGTTATCAATGGTTGGGTGTCTCCTCTAACTAATGACCTGAAATGAAAAGTGGAGGACTAAGCAAGATCATGTGGTCCTTCTCCACTTTTTAGGGATTGGGATTTGAGCAGGCATCATTGAATTTGTTCCTAATAGTAAGTACCAACACTCTGATGATATTTTCCATTTTGTAAAGTTTTTCCCTCCTCCACCA